GACCATAGAAGCTAGAATAGAAGGGCCTTTGAACTCAGTGCCATTTTAGTCCCTACATCAGCGGTCCACCGTTACCATGGAGTGATCTGTGCTTCTTTGTTTCTACGAAGGCACACGATTCGAAAGAAAGATTGGAAGGGGAAACAAGCGCGTGAGATGACCCTACGCTGCCCAGCGCTGCCCTACAGGCCCAACCATGGCAATATAGTTAGAGTCTAGTCTGCTGCGCGAAAGAAACCGAGCTCAGCTGCCGTGAAACGAATGGCCCTACATTAATAACGGTTCTTTTAATTTTAACGACCCGTGAAACTACAAGCGTATTGCGCGTTAATGCGGAAGCCATCGCGTCGATATTGAAAGGTTTTCCCCCGCATCGATTCGCGAATCGAAACTCGGGCGAAGCATTGTCGCGTCCCAGTTCCCGTGAAATTGATTTCAAAACGGCTGGGCGGACCCCGAACCTCCGTTTCTGCATTGTTATTCATGGAGCAAAAAAAAAAAAAAACGAGGAATTAAAGTGTGGAAGCGAAAGAGAGCGGTGACGTTCCAGCGGAAAAGTTTCCCGTCTCGCGACTACCGTGAACTTTCCGTAATTTCAACGTAGAAGCCATCCACGACTGCCTGCCGCTGACAACTTACATAGAATCGGCGCTTGCCAGGGGGAGGGGCGGAAATGTGCTGTACACACGATTTCCAACGTCGCGCAATTTACACTTGTCCGAGCTATTGACAAGGGAAATTTTCGTAACATTCGCGCGGATGGAATTCGAGGCTGGACTGGACTGGTTCCTAAAGCGAGGTGAACCTCGTTAAAAACGTCCTCCTCCTATTTGGAGAAGTGAGTTTTATTTGCAGTGAATAGTATCTGTGAATCGTGTTTGAACTTATTGGTTACTGACAAGATTTATTTATTTAGTAATCTAACGGGTATAAACCCAGTATACATATATAACAATTAATGAAAGTAAGATTAGAAACAGTTACATCAATACAAATTTTTAATAAAATATTAACTATTAAATTGATCGTTGTAAATTACAGTGTTGTGAAATTTGTTCGACTGCCAAACTGCAAATTTAATGGGATAAGTTAATTGGGATAAATGAATTTAGGGGATACAGCTTCGATGATCTTGACATGTGTTGTTAAAAACAACCTCCTGAGTGAACTTCGGAAATTTCTAGGTATGAAACATTTATTAAAAAGTTATTAAAAGAACAATGATATGTTTTTATAACATCGTTATTATAACATTTCTGACACGCGTCACACGTGCAAGCTATACAATGTGGTTGTGAAATCGAGCTAAAGTAATCATGTTTTTGATAATGGGACAGAAGAACTGATAGAAATACCGAGTGTGAAGGGAGTTATACTTCACGCAGTATCGTATGTTTGATGGAGGAGATAATAGTGTGGTCGTTATGTCGACCAACGGTTGGAGTGTTCGTGTTCTGGGAACGGGGAAAAGAAATTGACAGAAATACGAAGCGAGGAGTGTCTTGGACCTCGATAGAACATTCTGAACTTCGTTTCAGTTCACAGTTTCCTCGGTTTTCAATCACGAGAAGCATCTTCAATATCGTAAACGTGCATTAGAATTTGTTCTTCGCAGCAAAAGGAATGCATTTAGCGGTTGCTGGAATCGATTTTTCTCGATCGTAATGCAAAGATGAAGGAGTTCAGAAATTCAAAGGTAATTTATGTCCGGTATGGCATTGAATCTAAGTTAAGGGTTACTTCGAAAGCACAAGAGGCTAGTTTCCGAACCGTTGCAGCAGGCAATTATACCCAAAACGTGTACACGTATATATATTTGGTGCGCACCGTACAGGCCACGCTAATTGCATTGTTTCCCCCGCCAGCCAGACTGTATCTAACGAGTAATTTATAACTTCGGAAGAGGTCGTAAAGGGAATCGTTACTAATGACATCGTAAAACCGATACACAGACGACGTGTGTTTAACGTGCGTGTTCCACCGTTTGAAATATGAACGAACGACTTCCGTTTCGGATAAAACAGCCCGACTTCCGTGGTGGACCGAAGGAAAAGCTGCGCTTCCACGATTAAAATTATTCTCCAATCCCGAACTCTGTGCATTTACTCCCGAGAAATAATTATTCGGGCGATCAATTTAGACAGAAAATTCAGGAATCATACCAAAATAAAATTAATGGATACTTAAAATTTATGGAAGTATCTCGAGTGAAAGGGTTAGAGATAGAAGGTAAATGACAGTCGAATTTAGAAAATTTCTTTCCATACATTTATTGAAAATTCAATTACAGAAATTGTATTTATTTCAATATGATTACAGCGGTGTATAGGTTGATTTATTAACGTGATTTTTGGTTCGAAACGTTCACGATTCGTCGAACGGCCGGGTCACCGGATGAAAAGTAGACACCGAAAAGGTTTCTACTGTTGCGGTGTAAGTTTTACCGCAGAGTTCTGCGCGGGACCACGGGAAACAGAATTACGAGATGGACAGGGGAAACGCAGGAATCGATTAATGGGTGAACTGCCAGCGCGGTTATACGATAAGTAACGGATACATCCATGGTCGAGGAAGTTGTATATTCATTTATAATGTAGTATTACAGGGCTAAGATTTTAGTTAGTTACAAGATTGTTTGTAATAGGTGGACAGATGGAACGCGCAATCCGCATTACTCTCAATGGAATGGTATAGATCGGTGGCCGTCTGTAAAAGTCTGTATATCTAAATCAAATATGTATTCGGGAACGTTCCTTTTCGATGTGACAAACGACGACTCACTCGAGATCCGTTCCGAGGGCACGCATAAGCGTCAGTTCGCATTCGACAGTTGCACGAGTAACATCAATGAAAGACCACGTTTCAAGCGTTTGTTTACTGAAGTCACATCACTACCGTTCACTCTCCTGTCTAGGGAGATGAAATAACAAAATCTGGCAGAGGAATGCAGCAACTTAATACACACATCTATCCTTTCTCCTCCCTTATTAATCTTCTTCTCTCCTCATAGAGATGAGGATATAGAGATATCTAATCTTTTCTACCCAATCCTTCCTTTTCTGAATCCCTTCAATCTCACCCTTTACTATCCGCTATTTCCATACATACCTTCTGCAATATGCACATTAAATAAATTAACAATACGCACAGGAAATAAAGCACAGTAAATAAATTACAGTAAATAAATTAACAATATGCACAATAAATAAGAAGGTATTTGTCGAATACCTCTAACGTACAAAGGGTAGTAACTAGAGTGGGGACGAGTGTGATGCAGATCCACCCATCCCGACGGCTAGCGAGAGCCTAGTAGTAGTAGTAGTAGTACGTTCCTCCCGGGAGAGGGGAAGTGCGATTTCCCCCCCAAGGCCCAGCTGTGGCTCAAATCGCCGTTAGCTCTCGAACAGCCCCCGCCACGTTAGCAGGGGGGCTGCCGTGGGCATTACCCGGGGCTATTATTTCCCCCGTCTTTCCAACCCGACCAACTTTTTTAGGCCCGGGCCACATGGAGGCGAGGAAGTACTCGCCGGGGGGCGGAGAGTCACTAGGATCGTCCCTTCCCTACCTAAGTGATTTAGCTATGGAATATGGTCGTCGGGGCAACCGATCCTTCGTCTCCAAAGTGAGTACCGGCTCACTCTTTGCTTCACCCACAGACCGAGTCTGTACCAGGGGTGGAATCATCGTGCTTGTGTACGTTCCATCATTGAGAGAGAGCTGTGTCGCCTGTTTCAACCCCCTATCCTATTACCTGCCTATGTCCCGAATATTTCAGGAGCCCCCCCTCCTCTGATGCCCCTCACAAATCTACCACCCCCCTCAAGGACAGGGAGAGAGTCCCGGGACTCCGATAGAGATACATGGGGAGGCCGTTCTAGCCGACCTCAAGGAGAGACGTGGTCGGGTTCGGCGATCACCTCCCCTGGGAGCCGCAGCGGACCATAAATGAATCCGCCGCCAGTATGAATCTAGTCTAAATCTGTAGCGGGGTATGTGAATTTAGTAGAATGGAAAACGAGGTAGAGTAGATCGCGCCCTAGCGAGAGACTAACTGCAAACTTTCGACCGCTGCGTGGTGCCATATGAAGAGTGAGGATAAGGAATCTTTTTGTTTCCTGTGGAGGAAGTTATATATATTTATAATACTTTATTGTCTAAACAAATATAAATATAACAGCATTTAATTAGAAATCTTTGTTAATTTGCAATTAGAAGGAATTCCTTTGTTGGTGGATTATTTATTAAAGTCCTGTGTAGTTTTGTGTACAACAGAACTTACCAAAAACAATGGAATGGATAAATATAAAGTAAAATCAATATACCTATAGTTGCGTGAAACTGAATATTCTTGCGCCATCTACGGCAATTTGCTCAAGCTACTATCCAATAGGTACTTTATTTATAGTGTTAGATGGCGCCAGCATTCACTTCTTCATAGAATGAACCACTTCACTCAATATTTAATTATTGATTGATCCCTTGCCGACTTTATTGCTCATAATAATTGCAGAGGAGTGAAATAAACAGTCTGCTATTCGCAGAATACATTATTTATTGTAAACAATCTATCATTTTGTGTCACTCTTTGCACATCAAGCCATACCATTCTTCAAAAAAAGTTAATATTGTATCATCATGAAATAGAAGAATTTATGTATTGCAAGTGTGTTTATTAAAATGATATATTTACAATGTGTAATTACATTAATTGTTTTGGCACATGCTTGCTGTGGATGAAGTAGAAAAATGTATTACAAAAGATGAACTGACTCAATGTCTTATATATAATAAATAAGTGAGCAATAATATCATAATAAGGCACCTATTAGTTTCTAATGAGTATTTTAACTATAATATCAAAACATTACAAAGTTGCTTACACTATGTTGTCAGTATTATGACTGTATAAAATGGTCATTCATTGTATTAAAAAATGAAGTATTGTTATAAATATTAAGTCAAAAAATACTGATACTGTGTAAATGTAAAATTTGGTTTGTGCATTTTGATTATTTGGCACTACATTTTTAGTAATATACTACTCTAAAAATATTACCTTTGTGCATAGGAATAAACATATCTGCACAAAGTGAAATTGCCTTTGACACTTTTTTATGAGAGGTTCACATTCTATGATCTGGTTCTTGACAGTAATCATATATGGGTATCTCTGGTGGTCCATCCATTAAGAGTCTTGGTGCACAGCTTCTTGTCACAGCCACTACACACAGTGTTACTGTTGATGCAGCAGCAACATGCCATGAAAATACAAGAGCAACACCCTCTGGTAACACTGGAACGGAATGGTACACACGTACCATGTGTGCTATCCAACCACCATGAATCAATGTGGTACAAGCCCTTAACAGCTTTAATTCTGGCCACACAAGTTCCAAAATAATAGCTACAGATGTAGTCCATACTATAAATGCCAAAATTAAATTGACTATTGGGTTATTACCTACACTTCCCCATAAAAAAAGGAATCCTTCTATGAAAAAGCTCTGAGCCAGTGCTAGTTTAACCAATCCTTCGCTCACATTGTGAGGAAAATAAAAATTCAATACATCAACAAGACCAGAAAATGCAAAGAAGAGATAGATTGTAGCAAGTACAACTTTTGGTGATACGGTTCCAACTTGTTGCATACCACCAGTTATTGTACCAGCCAAACCTATTGCAGTTGCTATTAATTTCAAACTTCCCTCTATTGGGTGTCTGCTTAACAATCTTTCACATTTTTCAACAAACTTTAATCCCTTTGTACTGTTTGAAACATCTCTAGGTCTCAAGGAAACCCAATACTTGGCATAATCATAGCACCATTTCAAGCCAAATCCATAGAATATAAATCCAGTAAGGATGCATGGCAAATAGCTGTCCATGAAGAATATTAGAAGCAGCTGCTCTTTGGTAATCAGTCTGTAATTCACAAAATCATTTAGACATATTAAAACATAAAATATTTCCTGGAGAAGCTTATATGTATGTAATATTTAAGTTTTCTTCTAATACAAAAAAATGTATAGAATATAGCATGATAACTATCCAAAAGATATTTAAAAATACACCTCTGGAAAATATATTTATTTGTAAAAATTTCATGTATATCAGTATAAGCATTCAGTTACATAAAACTCACCCCCTGGATCTCTACACACTTCACTTCCTGCATGGAATGGTCCTTAACGAGGAACGCAGAAACGCAGAAACGCTTTGGGCACCTGGTAGTAGAAGTATGAACTAAAATAATCCCCACAAATATACAACCAATCCTGCTCATCTGTCCAGAAGACAATTAGGCGTATATCTTAAAATGTTTTAAATAATTGATATCATCTTTTCATAAAGAAACGTAACGAAAGATTTATGGAATTATTACAACTTATTACTTCAATTGGTTTCATTAACTAAAACTTCCATTTCCGCTCTATATTATCACCGACTAGGTATAGGCACCGACTAGGTATAGGATAGACCTATCATCTTATGGGATTTCGTGTCTCATGTTCTGAAATACCGATAGTGTAAAAAGTAAGGGATTTTCTGCTGCCCTCTACGTTATGAGAACGGTGAATTTGTGAACTACGTTAAATCTAAGAAAGGAGGACCATGGTCGTGAACGGATTCTCTTCCGTCCGCTCGCTATAAAGTAGACGTATTAGAAAGGAGTCTTGTGTTCGAATCCCGACGAACCTATATTAGTTTTTCTTCGCGAACAAAAAAGTTATTGCACGGAGCCCCATGTGGACGCGCCGTGGATCGCGTGGGGTCACGGAGCCCCCGGTGCAGGCACCGTGGACCCTGCACGGAGCCCCCTGTGGAGGCGCTAGAGACCCCGTGTGTGTGAGGAAATGAGGGCATCGAACCCCCGGAGCATGCACAAGAATTTTAAAACGTGATCCCTTATCATTGTTGTTCGTACGAGTCTCGAGCTCGGTCTAATGTTGCTCGTGCAACTGTTGAAATCTAACTGACACTTGTGCGTGCTTCCGTGAGCAAATTATATGGTAACCCCAGCAACCATGGCAGTTTCTGCAGATACTACTACAGCCCAAGTTTAAAAGACTTAGGCAATAGTTAGTTCCTGTAGAAACTTGTTGAACCAGACAACTATAATTAGTATAAGATTGTACACTGTTTATGCAGTTATATTTAATACAATTCGATGAAATGGGGCTTATATTAACTGACGCATGTTTATAGGAATATACATATGTATACATATAAATTCTAATGATATAAAAGTTTGAAATACAATATGATGCGGTACGGTACAATACGTCTATTCGAATCAATTGCTCCCTTGCGACTACAACATCATGCTATCCGCGTTCGGCGCAATGCGCTAATACGGAGGCCAACGAAATATCACTGTAACACTTAAAAAAGTGTTAAAGTTCCATTTATATCATT